CAATTATCACGGAGGTGAGACGTCAGAGCTTCCAGTCATTTGTAAAATGCGCTGTCGTTCCTGGGGTTTTTTTCGCACAAGCCGTTAAGCGTTTTTTTTCCGTGTTCACGAACATCACAAGTTGTTTTAATTCGAAAAGATTTGGCTCGATGCAGCGAGGTAAACGTTACGGCGAGGTAAGCGAGGTAAAATAGAGTCACTGCTAATTTTGGCACTTCCCGTCATAAACAGTTTAATGCAACAATTACTGCCATTTATTAGCAGAAAACCAGAAACATGACGAATTGTCTTGTTTCTATGGCTTCTCTTCCGTGTAATGCACAGCATTACAATAGTATATATTTGACAATTTCGTTTCCGGCCCAACTATATCTTCACATGATACTATACATTATAGGGGTAATTTACGCATTAATTAACATTCCCCATTTTAAATACATCGTGAACAGTTTCTACCATTATTCTGGCCGACGTTTCCTATAAGAGTCCCCACATGCCCTGACCTACCCACACCCCCAGTACGACTCTGCCCCAAACGCAACCCTACCCCAACCTCGCGTTTTTGTGACGTCATTTGAAAACTCTTGTATGTAAATAAACTTCACCCTTTATTAGCTCTCCTTAAACAAATTCCAGGTGAAGTTGATATAAACGTCTTCAAATGACATCACAATAGAGATGGGGTGGGTGTAGGGTAGGGGTCAGGATAGAGTTGGGGTGGGGGTCATTTGGAGACTATTCCATATATGGCTATTCTATTAAATTTCAGCCAAGCCCTGGTTGAAACACTAATCAAAACCCTTATTCAAACTATAATCCAAATCCAATTCAATTGGCATGCACGATTGCAACTGGATCTTTTTATAATAATCAGTCTCTATAGTAATCTTCTAGATCAAGTCTTTTTTCCAGTTTAAATTCATTTCCAATCGTGCAGAATAGACACACAGAGTTTAGATTAATAAATATCAGCATTGACAATAATTTCCGGGTTTTCCCCGAGTAGTTAAATTTTAATACGAAAACGTACCACGTTTACCTCGCTGCATCAATCGAAATCTTTTCGAATTAAATCCACTTGTGATGTTCATGAACACAAAAAAATCGTTTAACTACGATGATATTAACGGCTTGTGTAAAAAAACGGAACAACAGCGCATTTTACAAGTGACTGGAAGCTCTGACGTCTCAACTCCGCTATAATTGAAGCTAAACAAAATAGCCAAATTGTATCAAATTTCAGAGGCTGTCGAGTCTTCAAATCGCCGTTGGTAAATATAGCTTATCATACTAGGAGTTACTATCGCAAGGAAAATGCTGCCGATATGTACATGTAGGATGTGCTACAAAAAGAGCGTTTTTCACTGTATGTATGATTTATTGTCTTACACATCGTCGTTCCTCAGTTACCTTCGTACAATTATATCTTACATCTAATCTTATGAAAAGTATATTTTAATATACTTAACAGTGCGACTTTGATAGTTGACACATAATACAAATGATAAAATGTGAATATTATTGAATGATTTTGTCACTCGTACAACTTTTAATTTGGCTATTCAAACAATTGATTTAAAATAGTTGAATTTATACTTACTGGGATGTTATTGCTTATTGGGATGTTGAAATTATGTTTGTTTTAAATACATTTAATTGATATTCCATAAATTCATTTTGTATGATTTCATTGACCTTGACGTTGTTCAAAATCATTTTGTATTGTATTGAAACTGTATGTCTATGACCTATGTTATGTACTATATTAACCCATTGAGTCGCATTGCACCCTGATGCACCCTACTTTGAACAGTATTTTACTCTGTCTAACACCAGACGATTTTACTCGTCAAGGGGAGAGTGCTGGCGCTTAATGGGTTAACTGATCTATCTGCCCATGTGTCCAGTTAACCCATTGGGTCGCATTGCACCCTGATGCACCCTACTTTGAACAGTATTTTACTCTGTCTAACGCCAGACGATTTTACTTGTTAAGGGGAGAGTGGTGGCGCTTAATGGGTTAACTGATCTATCTGCCCATGTGTCTAGTTAACCCATTGGGTCGCATTGCACCCTGATGCACCCTACTTTAGTATTTTACTCTGTCTAACAGCAGAGTATTTTACTCTGTCTAACGCCAGACGATTTTACTCGTCAAGGGGAGAGCGCTGGCGCTTAATGGGTTAACACGCCCAAAATCTGTACTAAAACTGCTAATTCTGTTTTGTGATTGGCACAGTTTAATCAGAGAATCCTCCCGTTGAACCAGAGCCTTCACGATATTTCAATTTATTATTAACTGAAGGCTCTGGAATCCAGGATAGCTTGCCATTGAATACAGTGCAATGCTTATATTTCTGAATGAATAAGATCATACTCAGAACAGTCAGAACTGCAAAACTATATTGTTAGAAAGAAGTTGAAGTTGTGAGCATTATTGTGGTAACACAGCCATATGTATATATCAATGTATGTCAGTAGAATCATGTTTATAGGTTTTATATATAACTGAGGCCTTATACAAGTCATATCTTATACAAAAGTCAGTTGATATGCTATATTACATGTAATTGCTGATAAGTCCATATATACAGACAACAATCCACACTGGGTAGCTCTAGGAATCTTGTTAAGCCTGATTTAACAACATCCCGCGTTTGTTTTTAAACTATAAACATTTAGAAATAGAACGTACCGAACACTATTATATACTCACCGCCTTTGGCTTTGCACATATTAAGTGACATAACAAACAAATAAACTAAAGGTTCATTTGCTTCTTGTATCAGCATAAAGGCATTAATCATTACTGTCGATTTGGTCGGGAATAGATCAGTGATTCAGTGGGTATTATAATTGCCGATATATTCTTGAAATCATTTTGTTTCAATGCCTTTATATCGAAGTTTAATACACTAAAGTGACTAAACAAGTATAAACAGCAGATTTAAATATAAATGCCTTCATGTATTATAAAATATATCACCAGACAGGTAGACAGGGCACACGGCACGACTACATCACTATACGAGAACGAAATAAAGCCATCCTTACCTGAATTATTCAAATATTGTCGATCATTCTTGCGCCAGAGACACAAAATAACACCGTGCTTTATTTACCCATTCATCTTCACAAATATTACTCGGAATTTTTATGGAAATTCGCATTATTTTATGATTTTTATATTTCTGTCCGTTTATAACAGTCGCCATGTTGTGAACAAACCCCCCCGGGAACAAAAAAATAATATCAAAACAGCTAGTTTTGGCCCGTCCGTGGATGACAGAATGACATAAATCGAGATTGTAGCGGCTATAAACTCGGCGGTCACGTGGTAAGCACACCACGAGTAGAGATTAGTGTGCTGCCGAGCTACGCTCGGCAGCAATAAGGGATGAGGTGATATCAGTTTTATCGCTCGAGGGATGATATCACAATTGTCACGAGCGAGCGCAGCGAGCGAGGGACAATTGTGATATCGTCCCGAGAGCGATAAAACTGATATCACCGAATCCCGAGTACGATAACCTATTTATTATATACTTGTTCCTTTAACAGGTTTTGACACCCAAAAAAACAGTTTTGAAAAAATAAGATAATTTTAGAATTCAAAAAAATTCATTATTTACTGCACAAATTTAATATGATTTTAGAAAATAAATGGACCATTCATATAAATAATATACAATTTACTGTAAGTCTTTCGTTTTGTATTATCGTTCTTGTTTCCTTCGATAAAACTGTCGACATCAACCAACACGAACCTCGAGTCGGCCATCTTTGTTTTGACAAGGCGCGAAATTTAGCGGGACAAGAAACGATATCCGGGACAAAAAACGATATCCGGGACGATATCGTTTTTATGTCCCGCTGCTTGCTACCTGATAAAGGTACAAGTATGTGATAACAAGTTTTATTATGGATATGGGTACTTCAAACTTCCCTTTTTTTTAACCATATTAGTCACTGAATCCAGTTAGGTGCCACTTTTGAGAAATTTAAAGTCGAATTTGATATGTGCACAAAGCCGTATTTAGACCCGGTGCTTGTTATCGCTAAAGTTTGCCATAATCGTTCTGTAAAGGCATCATAAAACAAGACAAGTTTCAAAGTAGAATAATTTACACGTTGGTGGGTGAAAAAATCATAAAATTTGGTTGAATACTTTTAAAATTATATGTATTTGAATTCGGCTAATTTTTATGCCTGATATAGGGAGAGGATTTTCTGCGCGCTGAAACTTTAAAAATTAATAAAATTTCAAAATTCCAAATAGTGTTTGTTTGTTCTTGGGGTAAATACATTTCATTGTGAAAGTAACGAAGAATTTCATTTTTTGAGTCGAGAGTCATTGGTCGGTTCTTAGTGAGACAGCCTCTTAAGTCTCGTATATCAATGTTCTAAAACCAAACATGGGGTAAATGTGTTGACCAGCCAATAAAAACTAGCTATTTGCCTTACATCTTTTGATTGCGTAATTTATCAGCTTTCCATGTATATACATTTCAGTGGTTGAGTCTCCAAAACAAAAGCAACTCAGGCTACTCAGCGGTAACCTGCCCGAGGAAGCACTTTACCTTGCGATAGTAACTTCTAGTAGATAATCATAATATCGTTCTTCGATTCGTCCTTCGTCATTTAATACAAACCTAAAACAAGTCGACAGCTCTCATGCCGCGCATTATCTTTGACTCTTTGATGGGCATTGAATACATCCCGCTTTGTCTATCTGTTCCTCGATCAGATGTCGAACCTCAGAAGCCATGGCTCTTATCAACTCGAGCGAAGATCCCTTTGATGTGTAGTTGTATGCTTTGTACATTTGAGTCAACCTACTATGCAGTTGATTGAATGTTAGGTTAGTGGGTAGCATTGCCTTGATGAATTATTTCTACTTTCCTGCATTGAGCGACTCGCCAGTTTCATCGTGCCGTCTATCCGCCATCTCTTCAGAACAAAAGTACCATGATACTCCAACAGCGTCTTCTTGTATTCTCTTATAACATATTTATAATACTAGCCCCTGGATTCTTTTTCTGGATGTTGTAACTTTCCCAACGAGTCATGGAACGGAGGTGATCGGAGCATTTGTCATAGGCTTTAAATCCGCGATTATTTTCCAAGGCCTTTGACCAACAACCAACTTGAGTGAATGCTGAGCCGTTCTTGCCCGTCGATGTGCTAAAATTCCTGCACACAAAACAAAATGCTTTGTCTTTTGCAATGCTGTATTCAAGTCACGGGTAGCTTGTATACCAGTCTGCCCGAAAACGACGATTCTTCTGGATTCTTGGATAGGACCCAAGGTTTGGTGGCGGGGGCCCATCAACCAAAGTTCCAAGATCACTCACTGCGGAATTTAGGTGAGCTGGACGAACTCCCACTTGTGGCGGCTGAACAATACATACTGAAAGCGTCAACGGAGTAACTGCACCAGATGTTGACGGGACTGGGAAAGCTCGACGCTGTATAGTTGTCTTCAGTAGTCCTGACGTGAGCGTCATCTTCTTAGTTGACTGTTGTGGTTGCCACAGCTCCAGTTGTTGATGATGCTGCATCTGATTCGTTAGTCACTTCACGGTTTGCTCTTTTAGTGAAATACGAAGTTAGTGTGCGATTTGCAGACCTCTTCATGTTTTTGAAGTGCGCCGCTTATCATTGTTTCACCCGTCTCAACAATACACATTTCATATTTCCACAATAAAAATTTGACTCACGATAAGTTTAAAAAATAAATTGGAAAATGGATTTCTTATTTTATTCTAAAAAGATTCACAATTATACAATTCCACATTTACGGTCTGCAGACTAAAGTCTTATGAATAATGCATGATTTGCGGTTAGTTAGTTATACTAAAGGGTAGGTGTAAAAATATGACCTAATTTCTAGAAATACAACTATGACTGCATGACATAATTTCTGATGCAATACGTTAATACAATATATGAGTGAGCAAATTTATTTACAGCCCATTACTAAGCTTAACCATGTCCAGTTACGTCAGTATATAAGCTCTAAATTTATGATACACATGCTATATAATATAGCGTATCTTCCGAGTGTTCAAAAAACAATAGCGATTAATTGTATCTACTTTACTACGGACTACAGTATCTATAGGTAGGAATTTTTAGGTGTTCTTTTACTTCTCTGGTTTAGATATTTATTACTTCGAGTTCAGGTTACCACGTTCGTCGCAACAGTTGCGTGATGACGTTTCTAGGCAAGTTGATTGACGTTGCTACGGTGTCGTTTGTGCAATAACAATCTCATTATCACCATATAAGGTAATGGGACTGTTCAATAATCAACAATCGAACTGCGCATAGACTGATCAAATTTTGATACAGCAGATTTTGATTGACTGTAAAACAACTTACGCTACATAAAATTTTAACGTTTCCAAAGTCACGCACATTAACAGAAATATGTGGATTTCACTAGCTTAGCGAATACATTTTACATTGTCATTGGCGTTGATTATTAAACCACCTTGCAATTCCATTCACAAATGTATTTAATCATCTAGAATATTTTCTCTGAAATGTCGATTTTTTATGCTTTATAGCATATGATTTGTAACAAAATGCACCATTAAATTAATGTTTTGAAAACCTGAAATTTCTTACAAAATGTGCTCTCAGAATGCTGCAAATGCCTCTTGAGGGAGCACACCGCAAGACCCCCCTAGAAATCTCGTGCCTCCGCCACTCCCGCCACCCCCTTGCCCATATTTTTGGCAACGTTTCCGCCACTGGACTCACAGTATCTTTTTACACTTTCATTAGAGCATAACACCCGATTGTACCTAAAATAATCATCGTCAAACGTTGGAAAATGCAGAAATCCGTTGTAGTTCACAAAATAAACAGATTTCGAATAACATCGCGTGCACCCCCTGAAGCGTTAACACTATATGATTCGGTTATTTGAATTCTTCCACCCATCACAATACTGCACTAAAAATGCGTCCATTGTTTTCTACTGACTTGAATACAAAAAGCTGTAAGCTAACCTGTTTGTTCATCGCGAACAGTCACAGTCCTTTTGAATACAAAATTCTTCGCCTCCTCTAAACCAAAGCATTGAAGGTTGAGGCACCTGGATTCGTTGAAACTAGAAATATGTTCTTTTAACTCCTGAGGCGTTCTTCGTGTTGTCACGATGAGATGACCGAAGCAGGCGTTTGCTTGCCACGATCCCGATACCAATTTCAGTACATTTTGTGAAAGATTAAACTCATCCATATCATCTATGATCATCAACCATGGTTTTGTAATACGCGAAAATACTGCTAAGGTTTTGGACAATGTAGCCTCAAGTGAATTTTCATGAAGTGTATTGAATTGCGCTGCAATGTCATCAACGGTGGCTTTCAACTTGACATCGTCTTCTCCAGAAAACCAATAGACACCTCCCTGGTAATAGTTTTTCCATTTGTGTATATATTCTGCAGTAAGACTTGTTTTCCCGTTTCCTCCTAAGCCAGATACGGCTGCTATGATTACTTTCTCTTCACTACTCGCATCGTCATTCACTAGAATCTCTCGAAGCAAATCCAGTTCAGATTCTCGGCCGCTGAACCACTGGGTTTGCTTTGGCGCCATGAAAATATATCGTGGTTCTTCATCGGTTTTTCTTGCGACATTTTCATACAATATGAGCTGTCGAAGTTTTAATTGCTCGACATCTTGTTCAGTACGGAGTTGTCTTTCTTTCAAATCTTGGATTTCCTGTTTCAAAGATTTCTCGATGGTTTCCAGGGCGTTTAAGAGTTTACTCTGTACACATACCTGTAAGATAAAGAAAAAATATATTTCAACTATATAGTTTATCTAATTTGACTAATTTGTCAAGTGTCTCAGTATATCTTTTCACGAACCATCAAATACGCCGACATTTATTTGTAAGAAGAATACTGTTCTTTTTCTAAATTTTATTGGTAATTTCCATGGAATGTGCACGTTAAAATAGTACACGTATGTACGACTATACATGTATGCGTGACAATATGCTTTATTTGTTATAATTATCGACTGTTAATGTTGATGTTGTTGGAGTTGTGGAACTTTGAACTAATGGTTGTTGCACAGGCTGCCTAATTGCACCTTGCCAGTTTTGACGAGGGTATAATAAATATAGAAAATAGTTTTGCAAAGAAGATAAGCATCGCAAGAAACCTATTCTAATGCTTTTTAACAAAACAAAGATCAGTTCTGAGTGGATATACAGAAACCGTGGTATATTTTTAACTTACTAGCAATGAAAGTATATTTTAAAATCATAGCTAAATATAATGCCCCCAATCAGTAGGTGTGTGCATTCTTACTTGCCACTGTGAGCTAAGCTGAATTGCGAAGAACACTGATCGAGTTGAAGGCTTTCTAAAGCCTGTTTTCCACTAAGAAAATTAATTCGCGCGAAGCGAGTTTTCCCTTTGTCGGCAACGTTATCACGTCAGCAAACGTAATGCCAACAAAGGAAAACGTCGTTTGCGCGACCGAATTCGCCTAGTGGAAAATTAGTTTAAGTAAGGGCTAAGGGCACTTCTGGCCTGGCAGAAACCTTATGACTCATGTATGACTGATCACGGAGCACGTACAGCCCATCCTGTCAACATTTCAATATTTCCCGTGGGAGGAAACCGAGTACCCGGAGAAAACCCACGACTATCGATAGAGCATTTATGGACTATTTTTACATATTAACCGTCATTGCGTCCGCAACGAGAATCGAACCCATGATCTCAGAGGTGAAAAGTACTTGCTCTGACGATTGCGCTGCCGAAGCTCCATATGATGTCTCGTCTCAACTTGCCGCACAGCAATGCTGCGAAGTCCGCATGGAAACTTGGCACGAAAAAGGTTTACAGAAGATAACATTGCTTTTCTAACGAAAAAGACTAGTTTTGAATAGAAGATAACACAAACAAAAATACAGTTTCGACAAATACATCGTCGTATTATTATTACTTACGCAGTATGGTATTTGTTAAACTCCTGGTTAAACTGTACAATTTCCGTGTTTAAACTACTCCATTTAGCGTGATGAGCAAAAGAAATAGTTAAGTAACAGCGGAAGATTTTTCTTCGTGAATTGTGAAATTACCATTAATATTTTAAATGAACTGTCACCAATACCCTCCTTCCTCTACCGCTCTCAGTTATAGACTTTACATAGTTTGAAAAAGTAAACTATAACTTTGACGAAGAAAAAATCATAGTTTGGTAATTTCCTATATGATTTTGGTCAAACAGCAATGCTCCGGCCAAAACATCAGCCAAATTTTCAGAAAATGAGAAATTTTGACATCTTGAAGGGATCGGCAACGGCACTCCGCATGCAGCAATCCCCCCCCCCCCTGATTTAAGGCAGCCCTGTACATTATGAATTGGACTGAGTATACCTGACTATTCTCTACATCTTCTTTCCACAATTTTACAGATTCGCGAAGTTCAGCAACCTCTGTGTTGACAAATCTCAAAAGTTCGGAATCAACTGGTTGACCAAAACACAGTTCAAGACCTTAAAGCAACGACATAGCAGTATTATGGGGATTCATTTGTATTGGTAAACATCAGGATTTTGGACATCTCACTCGATAGAATTAATTGCGAAATATTTTTGTAGATGGAAATTTCTAGTGTAAATTTTTTCAATTGCGAAAAATGCAACTATAGGTCCTCTGGCAGGAATCGAACCTGCGGTCCTGCGATACAGCGCTCTGACCAACTGAGCTACAGAGCCCAGTTGTCCAGCTCTAACCGCAAGCTCTTGTCCCCGAGCCGACGGCGCGAAGCGCCGTGCGAGGGTACTAATTCCCCCCGGCTATTTACACCCGGGGAAACGAAAGCATTAGCGAAGTCTAAAGTTCATCAAATATCGCGGGCGTGGCTCAACAACGATGTTTCGGTGGGTGGTCATCCTCACTGATCTCAAAAATATGGCGGACTGTCATGAATTGCGGACACTGATTGGTCCAATTTAAAGTTTGCATTATAACAACTTCATGACGACAGCGAAATAGCAAATATTTCTTGATTTGATGATTGATAAATTTCTTGCAAATATATTTCATTTTTCGCATTTTTGCAAGATTTTGTAAATTTCAAAAGCTCCCTCGTAAAGAAACTGCGAAAGAATCGGCTAAAAGAAGGGAGCCGACGTTAACGAAGGTAAGTTTGTTTTAAATATTGATTTAATAATGGTTTTAAAACTCGCCGGCTTTTGCCGGCTTTGCGTATATGAAACAACTAAACAAGACAGCAATGATATAATTTCAGTGTATCTTTAATATTGATTCCCTTTTTTATGACATTGAATTTTTTAAATAAAAAAGAAAGCAAAGTTATTTGCAAGCAAGAATTTGAAATCATTTTATTGCAAACTCAAAGTTTATCGATAAAGCCATTTAATTAAAGGCAGTTTAGTTTTAAAAAGAACACTTTAAAACGTTTTGCGAAGCGTTTGTGGTTGAATTTTACCTTAAATTGAAGCTTATATTACATATAATATCATACCTAACATATATATGTTGAGAAATTGATAATTTTGTAATTAAAAGTGATATTTTTAGGCGATTTTTCATTTGTAAGAATATTCTTAAAAAATTATCGTGTTGCCATGACAACTACTTTAGATACTTCATGTTCGGAAAATACTGCAATGTTTTTGTCAGCAAGGCGAGGGTTTCTGCATGCATGTATTTTCTAGTATATATACACTAAGGTGCATGCATGGAAGTGAGATGCCCCAAATCCTGATATTTACGCATAAACCATACAATTATTTTGCCTAGCCGTTCTATAAGAAAGAACATTGTATTTGACTACATCCCCGAGCCAACGGCGCGGAGCGCCATTCCGGGCGTTAGCCCGGGGCGAGGGTACTAATTTCCCCGGCTATTTACACCCGGGGAAAGGAACGCACTAGCGAAGTCTAAAGTTCATCAAATACCGTGGGCGCATGGCTATGATCCAAGGGTGGACCTCCTCATTGATCTCAAAAATATGGCTGTTTGCCAGGAGTGGGATTAGCACACTGAGTATATTAAAGAAAGATTTCAATTTTCAAAAGCATATATTTGGAAAATCACGTTTCACACAATGAGCTTTGAAGCAATTTTTGTTTGGAAAATGAGAAGAATTGATTCACTATGGAAAATCGTGAAATATAGGGCAAGTTCGCTTTGAATGTTTAATGTTTATGATTATGAATTTTGTTGCTTTGATAATTTATTGCGTAAAACATGCACTGCTGTTTTCCTTTTCAAAGAAGCTGTAAGTTTCCTAAATTACCCTGTTTAATTTAAGAAAAAAAGGTAAATGTAAACAGGGCTCGAAATAACGGCCGATCAACGATCATTGATCGGCAGGAAATTGTTTTTGATCGAGCGAAAAAGCAACGTTGCCGTTCATCTTGATCGGCAAGAAATATATTTGAGTAATTTGACCATTGTCTGAAAGACATGCTTACCTGTACGCGGTAAAAGACAAATAAAAATAACATGAAACACATTCAAAAACACGCGAAAAACTCTTGTTTAATTGATACGAGTCATACGACAGGCCGCAATGCTATGAAGTATTGTCGTCTCCGCTTCAACAGTCTGCAATCCGAACCACGACGACTAACGTCTTTGTCATAATAATTTCAAATTGATATGATTTTTTGAGTAGGAATTTTTAGGATTTTCTCTACTATAATTAAAACTAATTAAACTAAAGTTTATTACTGTAATACATGTCAAATGTAGTTACACTATTAGTATTGTCAGTATTGTATATATAAGTCCACAGATGTCATAGATTTAATTGTTTAAACTCGAATTTGAAATGAAGTTATTAAACGTCCTCTTTTATAGATGTGTATTTAATGGCATATTTAGAATTTTTTCAAAGAAATGAGGGCAAATGCTCCTGATCGGCCAAATTTTTATTTGATCGGCAAAAAGTCGTGATTGCCGATCACCATGATCGGGAACGTTGGGAACGTTATTTCGAGCCCTGATGTAAAGGAGAGCAAATTAATTTGAAGACCTAAATGAAATTATTCAACAATTTGAAGTAAAAACAGTTTATCGGCAAAAGCAGTTCAGTTATTAAAATGAACATTTCAAAACATTTTACGAAGCAATTCCGGTTAAATTTTACAGTAAATCAAAGCTCACAAAATCCAGAACAACATACCTACAGTACATATTTCGGAAAGTCATTGTTATGTAGTTAAAAGCAATAATCTTTCGACTATTTTTGCCGTGTTGTATAAGTATAATAAAAATTATCGTATCGTGTTGCCATGGCAACACTGACGTAAACGCGAGCTTGCGTTCATCAGTGTTGATCAATTGCTAATACTTCATGTTAAATCAATGTTTGGAAAATATGGGCGAGGGGTTGCTGCATGCATGTATTTCTAGTAATATTCAGCAAACCCCCCAACGATGAAGGTAATTTCAAATGACAATTTTAGTTCACATATTTTAATAGATCTCACAATTCATTGCACTCTTGCCTCAATAGCTTCGTTTTCATGCGAGTTATATCCTCATGTTATGCCCATAATAGAGTCAGCTTGTGATTGGAGAAAGGATTTGTACTATTTGTGCGTAAAGTGCACAACTATAATTGGAATAACAAAAATATTCCTGTAATATGGGCTGCAATATCTCGATTGTTTCATGTTTCAAGACATTTTTAACTCGCTCAGACGCTCAGTTGTTAAATAAATCATACCTTTTTGTTTCCAGCCATCAAGGTCATCAAGTGTTCTCTTTTTCTCAGCTGGTGTCAGGTTGATATTGTTGATGAAGGTCCCGATGTCTGTTAGAGCTGCTTGGTAATTTACGTCAGTCCAGTGAGAAAAGTTACAATGTGCCCACTCATTTCTAACGTCTGATCTAATTTTCTTTGCTATACCACTAGCTCCATGAAAAGGCTGGGCCTCGGCAACAATTGATAATGCTGCGGATGTATCCATAGTTTGACCAAAACCAGTAAAGCTAGCCATGAACGGCTTCATGAACAACTTCGCTAAAGATACTGGATCTTTGACAGCATAGTCGTAAGATGAAGCCTTGCGGATAGTGGAATTGGTGTTTACACTTTCGTAGTTTAATTTCGAATAAGAAGGTGGCAACGTCTTGGCATGGCGAGCGCATGTCTGTTTATCAATCTCGTGGGGAGGTAGGAGCAGGCTTTGATACCATATTGGCATTTTATTGGCAAGAACATCTCTCAATGCTGGAGTAAGGACTTTAGTCAGACATATTCCGATGATCACCCATCTTCGTTCTTCATCAGAAACCGTCTTAGGACTCGATCCACTTACACCAACTGCAGTGGCCATTCATATGGCTAAGTAATACTAAATAAATGAAGGTGGAAAAATGTTTAAAGTTTTGGACAGCAGTCTTCGGTAACATAGGGATTAACTTGACCCGCTAAGACAGTATTTCAGTCCGAGCTTGTGGTACACGTACGGCATCTTTCACATTTGGACTGGTAATAACCTTGAAAGGCTTGGGAAATCAAGTATGCCGTTTCAATGTCATATATGTAACGGCCTGTACAAGCGTAAGTGGTAACAATAACACCAGAAAGCCGTGAATTGAAAGGGAATCAATTACCTTTGCTTGTATAGATTCAACCACTTTAAAGTTTGCTGGTATTTTTCACGTAGTTTAATTGCCACCTTTTTAATTATGTATATTATACACAATTTATTATATAAGTACAGAGATTCCCATGCAGTTGATGGCTGAAATATAAATCCCATCATCACGGCGGCGGCAGTTTTCACCTGTAAAATTTATCATATTGGCATTTTGACCGGGCTGCTATGTTCTAATTGCACTGGATGCATGCTACATATTGCTATCAGTGAGCTCCATGCATATATCTGGAGTAGTGAATCCGCAAAGTGAATCCCAAAATGGCGGAAATTGACCTCCAGTGCCAGTCCCTTGCTATTGTTTTCGTCTGCACGGTTGACACGAGCTTCGAGGAGTGTGGCGAAATTTCGTGTTTTGACTTTGACAGTTTTATGAACTGTTAACTTGATTAGCCATACAGTCCGTTAGAAATAATTAAAATTAGCTGAAAAAAATTGTATGAAAACTGTTTGCGACCTTCATTGATTTTGAACGTCAATTCCCGCCATCTGATCTTCGCTTCTCTTTTCTCCGAGTGGCTGAAGTTCTTATTCTAGATGTATATAGACTTCACTGGTTGCATTGTTGACTTGGGTTTTTAGGCTCAAATATTTGCACAGTTTGGTTAGGGCTCTATACTTATATAATAAACAAATCACTTCATGGTTGGCACCGTTCGCTGCGCTCAGTCGTCTTATGCGCACGTGTTGTACACAAATTTGATGGTTTGTCAACAAATAGTTATGGAAACACACCCTGGAAACACAGGCCTGGCTACAAGGTCCAGTGGCGGCGGAACGTGATAGTTTTTTAGGGGGGTACATTTTCAAGTAAAGTGACTATACTTCTTCAAATTTCGTACCTCCCCTCCCTAACAAAAACCATGGAGAAGGGTGGGGGCACCGCCGCGCTTGAAGTCGAAACAAGTGAGCCCAAAATATTAATTTGCCTGCTTGGGAGGTTTTCTAGCTGGCGGCTATTTCTCAAGATCGTTAAAACGCGAATTAAGGGTCAGTAACCATGCACTTATAACAATAGTAATAATAACGAATTTATTAAGGCATATCTACATGGTACTGATGGTAGCTCTACATCCTTAATTCCTATGCTAATATATAAAATATACAAATGTATATACAAAATAAGTTTATAAATGTATAATATAGATGTATGGTATAAAAATACGAATATAAACTAACCCTAAACTAAAGCGATGTCTGAGCTTAAATTTTGAACTATTACAAAAACCTCCCTCTCGGTCTATTAATAAACTCGAACGGTCTGTGCCAGCGTAGGTGTGACAAAATAGGAATATTATTGAACTACCTGAAAAATACAGTAAAACGTCAAAAAACGTTTCAGATAGTTCAATTCCTATCCATCCGCTGTTCTCTCGTCTGTTACCCTGCTGCATAACAAGCGTTTTTACGGTGCGCACGTCTGTTGATATGAAACATTGCACTGAAGTGACCCCTTCATATTGGACAATGTGAAATTACATGGATGACTGTGGGGATATATCGACACTATATTGCATCGACCACCTTAAAATGATCATGACAGTTGCAAATAAATGGAAACATGTATGCAAGTTTTATTTATGCGGAGCCTAACAAGATAGCAGCCTATTCTTGACTACACCACTTGTGCAAATTTCCCGATCGACATATATGATATTCTAAGTTGAGTCATTCGCCTTAATCTCGATTTGAGAATTTTGAACGCCTATCGTTACTGTAAGTCGGCCGCTTGTTCTTTATTCCACCTTCAAAAACTCATTAATAATTCATGAAGCAATTATCCAATCTTGAGTAAGAAATTAGTGACGTGCATACGTCTTTATACCAGCTAAAGAACACTTTAACAAAAGACCATTGTTATGCAAACTATATAAAGATTTTTATATAAAGATTTTTATATAAAGATTTGACTTATTATGCATACGTTTTTGAAGTCATTTAAAAACTCGCGGGTCGTGTTTTATTAGGTCTAAAGCCACTCGCGCTGCGCGCTCGTGGCTTTAAACCTAATAAAACACTCCTGCTCGTTTTTTAAATAGTACTTCAAACACTCATTAATAATTCATAAGCTTATTGGCAAATCATGTCAACCATAATATGTCACGTGCAGTGGCTTTAAACCTGATAAAACACTCCTTCTTAGTATTCTTTTTATAAAGAATACTAATAAGGCAGTATCTATTGTTGTCGTGTCCTCATTAGTATTTTTTATATAAAGAATACTAATAAGCCGGTATATCTATTGAATTTGTAGTCGTGTTTGAAGCCGTTTAATAAACTCGCAGGTCGTGTTTTATTAGGTCTAAAGCCACTCGCGCTGCGCGCTCGTGGCTTTAAACCTAATAAAACACTCCTGCTCGTGTTTTAAATAGTACTTAAAATACTCATTAATAATTCATAAACCTTGTGGCAAATCATGTCAGCCATAATATGTCACGTGGAGTGACTTTATATCTGATAAAACACATGTGGCATTATATAATTGTTCATCCTAATTAGCATGATTATATAATGGTTCATCCTAATTAGTATTCTTTTGTAGTCATAACAAAATGAAATCTGGGCACATATTCACACAAGCCTTGTACAATTACCCATGCACTTCACTTCAGTGTTCATATGCAGATCAGTGGCTAATGAGCAGGGGTGCTTGTTTCACATTATACAAATATAACAGTTATAATGGATCATTGCAGATAATCCACCCCTCCCCAAGTGATGAAGCCAGCCTGACAGTTTGGTTATGCTATGCAAATATTTCTGTGTTCATTGACTGTGAAAACAATCAATTTCTGAAGAAATTTCTGGACAATCAAATTCTGAAGAATAATAATAATTGGAAAATTTGCATAACATGACCAAATTGTTGGGCTGGCTTCACTACCCCACCCACCCCCACCATGTTTCTGATGTCTATAGGAGGTATAGCAGAGATAAACTTCCAAAATAGCAAAAGTAATAAGATGTCCAAGGATATCCAATTTACTTAATGGGGAGGTGTGGATGTTTTCTGGAATGATAATCTCGTATAATTGTTTTAGTTACAGGGTGTATAAAGCTAGAAAACAACTTACTGCGATTGACTGGAATTTTCATGCTAACCTTCCCACAGCCAAAAGTGATTCAGGCGATGAAATTGTAACTAGAAAATACAACCCCAGGACAAGACAATGGGATATTAAAAGTGTTAAGATTGAGAAAGGATATCAATATATTCCACTGCTCTTGTCCAAGATTATCAGCAGAAGAATACATGATATGGATTTTGTAACACGCAATGTATCACTAAATGCAAGTGATCCAGGCAATATTGCTCCTAATATTGCTCATACACCTGCACCTTCAACGAAAGACCTGCGGCAAAGAAGAAGCAGATTTGTAAAATAAGATAAACAATACTGATAATAAAGTAATGAAGAGTTCCATATATTGTTGTTTCTTATAAATAACTAAATAATAATAATAACTAATAACTTCTATAATAACTTCTCCATGTATCATCTGTACAGGCAAGCCTGCATGTGCTGTCATGCTAATGTTCTCTGTACCCCATGTACACACCTGTCACAGATGGATATCTCTGTCTTATTCTAATTACAACACATGAGGGGCAAACACGACGATTTCCTTTTCCTAAAAACCCATGTCGGGCCAATATAAACTGCCTATATGCTGCTTTACGAAAGGCTCTGGTGCTGTTGCCCTCACGGTCATTTCTTATGTCACTGGTATTTCTGATACAGAGCTCAAGGACATCTGGGTCTAAGCATACTTTTGCAAAACGTGCAGATAATGTTATACACTTTTCAATTTGCAACATTTGTTCTCTATTTCTTGAGGCATTGGGCTACAATTTGAGCAGACACACCATGAAGGGGCAGCTTCAAGATTTCCTGTTGAGTTTTGATGACTTGTTCCACTTGTACCCTCTGTCTCATCACTAAAATCATCCAAAACCTCTTCTGTGTTATCATTTGTATCCAGATCGTCCTCTGCAATCAGTAAAGTGTCTATGTAATCCATACTTCCTATTCCTCTCCTCAAACTCCTTATTGCCAACTTTCGTACTGTTGTATCGTCAAGCGAGTAAATTAATGTCTGCAGATTTAAAAATATGATATTAAAAATATAATAAAAAGTGATATTTACTAGCTATAGCCAACATTTATAACAATTCTAGATGGGTAATTATTCTATAATGAATCCGCCCCTGTTCCCATAGTGATAAAATGGAAATAGGTGAGCATAGGAAATTATGTCTGGGTATGTGACTATAGGAGGGGAAATTCCCCCCAAATAAAAAAGACCCTGAAATTTGGAAGGGGGAGCTCCCGCCCAAGTCCCAAAACCTAAAATGCCCCTCATACACTGCATTTGTATGTACACTAAGTACCTACTAGCTAAATCATAAGCCCCATTTCCACTATTAAAACCATCCTTCAGTACAATGAGCCTCACTGTAGGCAGTTGTTGTCCATGACCCTATCAAGACGCTCAAAATCTCAACAATGCAAGCTGGTAATATGAACATGTAATGATTCACTCATGCAAATTTCTCTCAGCAATGTTTTCTCATTTTTTACAGAGGGGTCATGTGATAAGGCCTTGAAAATGTTTGTATATTATATTGCTGTAATGTTATGTATTAAAGACAGTTAAGGGCTGACTCCAATAGTGCAGAATATTCAGAAATTCAAAAGAAAAATACCTTGACATCATTGTGTTCTTTTTCTCTTTGCTGATCTTCAGTTTCATTTACATTCGATTGCGATAAACCACGAAATCCGTCCCTTGATCGAATTGCTGATCTTTCACGCACTCTATTTTCTTCTGTATCTCCCTGTAACCACAAAAAATCCTCATAAAAGATCTTTCCTCATAACAATATTAACATAATATTGTTAAAATTAGGAAAGAATAAAAATTAAATACATTTTTATGGACAAACATTGAAACATACCTTATTCTTGCAAGGTTTATTGCGAGTTCCACACTTGCAGTCAACAGAGCACTGCAAGTTTTTCCCCTTGCACGGGCAACCTCTGCTAGAATTTTCTTTTCTTTTTGTTGAACACGAGCTTTTACAACAGCAATAGTTAACCTGTATTTTAAATTCATCACAATTCAAGTCTATTTGACAATTGACAATAAATAATGCAAATATATTCATTCATTTGCGTACTTACCGACGCCTCCATGACGCATCTTCGCAAATATACGAAGCAATTTACGACAGTTTACGGTAATTTACGGTATATTCCGAAAATAAAACAACATGCGCAGAAGAGATGCGCAGACGGTGACACTGCTCCTTTAACATGTGCGACTGTGCGTCTCACTAAATTTGCGTGTTTAATAATGTTTATCAAAGAAGGCAAAAATATATACAAGACAACCTCACATGTGGAATCTGCTCACTTACGCACTGCCTTGTGATGCAGTACAAGTAAATATACAAATGATAAAGCATTTTTAAATCCTAAAACATAATTAAATCATACGGCACATCCAAGATTGTAATATCGTATTTCAGCGGCTTTTCTACTGCTTGGCGCATTCGCTGCGTTATATTCATTTATATACATAGATTGATTACTATAATAAATCAACACTTTACGATAATATAGAACTCACAAAGTGCAGTCACCTTTTTATAAATAGACCTTTTAAAATGATGTCGTTGTCATTGCAGACCAGAGGCAAAAAGCACAGCCACATAGTACACATACCAAATTTAAGCAATCGTGAAATCAAATACATGGAAAGAATATGAAAATAATGGTGAAAGCACCGCGAATAACCGGCCGAAAACACCGCGTATAATGCCGAAAGCACCCAACAAAATGCCATTTGATCACTTAAGGTTACAGGACACCCTTTTTGGCGTTTTGCGGAAAATCGCTACTGCACGCTCAAAATCAGTCCAATTTTCATAAAACTTTCACCAAATGTTCGCCAGTGCATGCAAAATATGGTAAAGTTATAAAATTAACAAACAATAAAATAATGTAAGAATTATTCAGTAAAATCTTAAATCGCGGTATCGTTACGCTTTTGAGTTCTGCTCCTGCTGGTTTTAAGGTATATTTATGAAAATATCATTTTTAAACAGTATGAAAATAGTTGTTCTAAAAAATTGTGTTCGGAAATTTTTGTTTATTTCGTCATTCCGCTGATATGGCGATTTCTTTGACGACTGCAATATATTTCTGAATTGTTTGAGTGAATTGCTCTTTATTATTAAAATATCCAAAATTAGAACAAAGCCGAACACAATTTTGAAACTGACGTCTTTAGCTATATCCTGTGAAAATTTGAGAAAAATTGGATGAAACCCGCAGGAGAACAACTAGTTTGAAAATCAGTAATTACCGTAAAATTCTTCGGGAGAAAATTGAATTTGAACATTACATTTTCAATGTTTTTCTTATTGCAGCGAAATGTATTATATTAAATAACTCAGCGAGTTTTCAACATTTTGCGTTCAAACTTGGTCAGGTAGTAGAACTAGTCTAATGCTTTCATGGAAACCAATAAAAAAATTTTAGGCAAAATTAACACTCAAAGGTGTCCTGTAACCTTAAACCAGCTATGGCTTTCCATAAAAGAAGACCAAAGATGAAAGATGATCACATTACCTATTTGCCTTATGCCTGTTTATTAGGCAAGAATAGGCTGCTGGCCCGAAATTAAGCAGTGCATTGTGGTAGACCGAAATACGCCGAAACGATCGAGATATTTCATCTGTCCTATATAAATACATATACATAAAGATTAAGAATCGTGGGATATTTACTGTAGAATATTTTAAAATAATGGCATTAATATTTTAAAATAATAATGGGAGGCTGAGAATTAGCTATGCAAGGATTGAAGAAAATCTACTCTACCTGCTCTGTATAGTATGTCAATACAGTATCTAACTTCATATTTCCCGTACGCTCCCGATATTGAGCAAGTAGCTACAACCGTCATTTAGCAAACCGTCTTTTGATGAATTTTCCGTTTGTGCATGTGATATAATTATTTGGGCTGCGGACATATTAAATTGCTACGGAATCATTTGGTACTTTCAAACTTTTTGAACAACCTCCATGGGAAGACCATTTACCGTTTTGCCATACAGGAGCATAACCGATGTATTTTTTCAAAGATTAAAAATTCCAAGCCTTTTAACACGTTTACCAAATACATCAAATTTTGATGGCTTTATGGCTATAAATGTGTTCGCTGTTCTAGGCAGCTATTCTAGCTAGACGATTTATTATGAAATAGTCGGAGCAATTTAAATTGCAACATTTCGCCATCTTTTTATCGATCTATGTGAAGGTCCCATTTCACTCCTATTACCCATTTGCAAATTATGTGCTATCCTTTAACGTCTGCGCTTTGCCGTTCTTAAATTTATTTTAAATTTCGCAGCTAAAATTATCCATCATGGCTGTCACAATTGATGAAATGTTGAAGCATATCGGGGAATTTCGCCAATACCAGTGGTTTCTGATGTGTTTGTTGGGATACAGTCTTCTAGCTGCTGGCTCTTTTAATGGCATGATAGTAACGTTTATCACAGCAGAACCAGACTGGAAATGTGTTGATGGATATATGAATAATACCATATGCAGATTTAATAAATCAATAACATTAACCAGTGATGATTACAAAGCAAGGTGTAAAATGCCGAGAGAAGCTTGGACGTTTGTAGATGACTTCACATCCACTGTTACTGAGGTAAGGAATAATTACAGAGAAATAAACAGAGATAATTGGAGAATGGACTTTACTGTTTATTGCCCTTTGCCCCAATAGCTTCCTTCTCATTTTTTCCTGTATAAGCATGGCAGGTGCACATGAAGGTTATTTTTCATATATGTTTAAATTCGTGCACGAATATATTTTGCTTTGATCTTGAGCCCGATCTCAAGCTTGTCCTTAAACGAATTCTGCACGAAACATGAGGAAATAACCGCCTGGAAACGAGGCCATTAGGTCAAATAGGTAATAAGCAATACAGTCTATTACATAGGACTTCTCAAATTCATTAATAATTCATGAGCAATTCAGCCAATGAACGAGATTGCGTGGGAAAACTCTAAAGTAATTACCACAAACAATCGCTATGGTCAAAGACTTTGCCTAGAAGCGTGGCATATAAATATGAGTAATCATGCTTTGAATAGGGATGACGGTGCCTATTTGCCATAGGAATATATGCATCTCATTGGCAGGTGACGTCATCCCTTGGGTATTTAAGAAGCCACGATTGCAATTATAGATCACTCCTGATGAAGACACTAGACTGGAATGTCGAAACGTTGGGTCTTGATTACAATTCGACGGGGCTTTGTAATCATTTATTTAAACCAGAGTAGCGAGCGAAATATGATAATCACCTATTTGATCACAAGATGCCATTTGGATAACCCTGTGAAACTTGATGAAAGTCACTAGTGTTTTCATCAAATATCTTAATTACGCATGCCAAATTACTTGAATAGAATTCCGAATTACAGTATGCTTGGTTAAGAATTCTATTCAAATCAGCAAACGAAAACATTCTGTTACGTCTCGATTCATTTGAAAAAGCTCGTGTCTCTCCGGGATATCCAAACACATACATTGTTTTCTCGTGTTTGGATATCCCGGTGAAACACTCGCTCTCGTTGTTCATATATTACTTACATGGGGGAAAGAGTACCGTAAATTTCCTTTTAACCCTTTGCAATATGTAGTTGTTATTATTGTTATAGCTTTATTGTTTCTATTGTTGTGTGGTTGTTGCGGTTATTGTGGTTGTTGTCTTTGAACGGCACTCCGCGTCTTTTGGCTCAGGGATAAGTTATTGAATAGCCGTTTTCACATTAGAAGACGGACAAGTCGTCTAGTCGAACAAATCGTCTCAAAATCGTCTTTTAGTCGGACAAATCACCAGATGTGAAAACGTGTCGGACAACATTTTAGACGAACAAGTCGTCTGAATTTGTTCGACTACTTGTCCGTCTGTGAAGACGATTTTTGAGAGACGATTTGTTCGTCTAGACGACTTGTCCGTCTCTAATGTGAATAGGGCTAATGAGAGTGAGTGCTGTACGGGAAAATATCAAGTAAAGACCTTCATTGATATTTTTCCCTACAGCCCGAACGGTGCAGGTCAGTTCGTTTTTATTACATTACATTGTGCCTTATTAAATAAATAAATAAATAACAAAATCAAAACTAACAAAAACTGAATAACATGATCACGGAAGGTCAAAGTACAATGTGCGAATTAGTTGCAAAATTTAAAACTACTCTACACCACCTTTAATAGAATATTAACAATGTTTTGGATAGTATTTCAAGAAAACGACGAAGAATTAATTTAGCTTAATATAAAAACATAACTATACTTAGGCCTAAATAGATAAAAAGCACGGACAACTATGTTTTTCGTTTGCTTTGTTTCATATTCATGATGATGTCTTTGTTTAACAAAATTAACTAAAACAGAAATAAGTTCGTTGGAGATTTGCATGGCGATAAAACATATAATACTTTTGTTTGTGGAAACACCACGTAAATTTAATTAATCAGTTTTAATTTTTTTTTAAATTTGCAGTAATAAATTTACGTGGTGCCTCCACAAACAAAAGTAGTATAAAAACAGAAATCTTTGTGGTTTTACTCTGAGTATGCATCCACACCGGACAAGCTGAAAAGTTTGCCTGACGACGGTGGGAATCGAACCCGCAACCCGCTTTGGGATACTAGCTAGTCCAATGCTCTGCCAACTGAGCTACGAGTTCAAGTATCCCAAATGGTTCGATTCCCACCGTGGTATATTGCAGGCAAACTTTTCAGCTTGCCCGGTGTGGATTCACACTCAGAGTGACACCACAAACATCATATTCATGCACCTGAGTAGTGAGTACATAACACCAACACACACAAAAAGATAATACAGAAATGTTCGAAAGTAATCTATAAATCTGTGGCTACGTCAATCGTATTCTTTTAGATTGTGTCCATTAATCATCTCCTGCATGGTCATCTACAAACAGTATTCAAAGCTCTTCGCATGTTGACAACAAAATATTCTTGAATCCTTTAAATAATATATAATTGAAAACATTGCAAAATTTACCTGGCATTTTCAACTTAGCCAACAAACCTTATTAATAAAGTTCTTTAATCAAAGCGATTACCCCATACCTGTATT